ATACAAACCCTTCTATTGCTCTGTTTCTGTGACGACTAAGGTGACTGCGTTTGCAGCGAGAACTGTCACAGTTCGAGAACGCTCCTGACCTGAAGAGATTCTTCAGGTTCTCTCGTGTCGACCTGGACTTTCCCCATCTCTTCTTTGCCCAGCTCTGCTTCAATGGCAGAGTCCTGCCATCGCCGGAGGCAAAACGACACATCATAAGCCCACTAATTACTAGCGTTTGCTAGCTTGTGCGCTACAACTGGCCACACGATTCGTTTGGATCCGTTTGGATCTCTTGGCTCCCTCCCCACAAACTGTGGCAATATGACCCCATTACTTACTAATTACTGTACTAATGATTGACAATATAATAATCCGTCTCTCTTCGCAAGTGCTCCACAAGGGTGCGCAACCTCTGAGCTCGACGATGATCTACTTCTGCAACCATTGACGTCCGCGTTTTCGGAGCCTCGGATGATCTCCGCAAGTGTGCACCCAGGACACATGGGTGTCAAATCGCATGTATAAAGAATAGTATAGAGTATAGAATAGTGTTATATAATGAGCCAGCTCCAGCTTGCCAAATTCATCCGACTCCCCTTTCCCGGCGAGGCTCGTTGAGGCTCTTTTAACGCTTCGACCCGTGTGTGAAAAAGGCTTCCAGATTCCCAGGTGTCTCTGAGAGCCTGCTCAGGGTGAGCTGGGAAACAAGGTCACGCGCATAGAACTGACCGTTGCTCTTGCAACATGTTGTTTTCCTCATGTTTTTCTATGCGTGTTTGGTTGTGACCGGTTGTGATTCTTGAGGAACTTTTGTCCTATTGCTCAAAAAGACTCTGGCCAGCTGCATTTGGCAGTGCAAGAAAAGAAGAAAACCCATCAACAACATTCCAATCTCGCAGGGACGCCGGCACAATGAACAAGATCTTGTAAATTCACGCGTTTACAGCGAACGTTGACCCCACCCACCCCACCTACCCACCTACCAATATATCACAATATATCCACAACACCGACAAACCCGCAACACATGCAGAGCAACACGCACGGAAGCTCACGGCCAAACATCAATGCGTGTCTGGAGACAAGTTTGAGCAGCCGCTCAGAAAATGCACAAGTAATGAATGACATGCCACTATGATTTGACAACAGCCTTTGCATAAAAAAGGATCTGTCTTAAGCTGATTGATCTTCCGGTGAGCTTGTGTGCAGCACTCCCAGAAAATCGCAAGCTGAGCATTGTTTGCAATAAGTACTACCAAATATGGAAAAGGACGTAATGCATCAATGACCCTATTCTTCTTGCTTTCCAATTTTGAAGCACATGGAGCCCACATGTACGGCCAGCCTTCCAGTTCTCATTATCGTCATCTCCTGCGCATCTAAAAACAGTCTTTAGGAAATAGCCTCCCACACTTGAGGATCAGAAAGTCTGCATGTAAATGGATAATGTGGACACCGACTGCAAGCCTGCATTCCCAACTAAATCTGGCTCAGCAGGCATCAGTCAAACCACAACTGTTGCGTGAAACAGTCTCGCCTCCAATCGCAGAGGTTGAAGCACTCCGCGGCCGGGAGAAATTGCCACTTACAGCTGGTACGATTTCTTCACCTACAGCTGGGAGCACACCGGGCACACAGTGTTTCCGTATACCGTAAATCATGTTCATCAGTTCCTTTCGCTCGTCTGAGTTTTTCCTATGTCGAAACAAGAAGCTTTCCTAGTAACTAGAAGCTACTAAGTGGAGGCCATCGCGATTAGGTTGGAGGCCATCGCTACTATAGTAACATATAAGCATTAAACCGCAACAAGCACCTGCAAAGTTCCTTTCGCTCGTCTGAGTTTTTCTGTCGACAATTTCAATCGAACAACACAACGCATCACCACGCATCGCGACGCATCGCAACCCGCCATGCAGCTTGTGAGCCTCGACCAGTTGCGCTCAAGAGGAAAGACTGCCTCATCCAAGGTGCTCTCGGCGGGACCGAATCTCTGTGATGGCTACTTTATCGACTTTGTTGGCACGCGCTTTTTTGAGCCGACTTCCGATGGATCTTTGCCCGTACTGGTGGGATATGACCGCTTGTCAAAAAAGGAGCACTAAAGAGGACCCAAGCTTGGTCAAGGGAAAAGCATCAACTTTGAGGCAAAGGTAGTCTGCTTATTAACTTGCGTGGTCCAGGCCTGGCAGTGCTGCTCTTCAAGGGCGAAAACTCTCCACGTAAATGTCTCGCTTCAAACCTTCAAGGCAGCAAAGACGAGCTGCATGACAATATGGGCAGTCGATGCTGTTGCTCAAACATCTGATTCCTCCCTGGTGCTGACCCCATCTCTCGTTCTACAATGAGAAATTCTTGGACGGGAGTCTCACATAGAATGCAATGCATCAAAGAGGGCGGCACTTCGGGAGACCCATCATGTTCGAGAGAGAAAGCTCATTCAAAGCTCATTCTAAGGACGCGCAAAACCTCTGATACAAAGGTGTAACGCCTTTCATCTTCAATCATTACGTATTCAATCTTGTGGGGAATGCATCTCGTTGTGCGGAAAACTCTGCTTTTCAAAGCCTCTCGTGATTGGCTCTGTCATTTGTTGAAAGTAGATCCCATTTGTAGCGGGCCACAACCATGTTGCAACATGTTGGGTCAACGGGGGGGGTTAGCCCCGCCCGTAACATGTGGTCTGGTTTTTTCGGGTTGGGGGGGGGGGGGGGGGGGGGGGTCAGTTTCATCCTGGTTACGACTCGCGTACATCGTCTACGTACTTCATTGGTCCACCCGGTTCCTTGTAGGTTCGCTCGGTCACGATTCGTTCGCTGGACGACCCGCTTGTCTGGGACCCATGCTGCTCGAGAAACAGAGCAAAGTCACGGTCGTTGGTGGAGACCAAGGTACAGAAAGCTTGGCAGCAGTGATGAAAAAATCACTGCGTAGAATGGGTTTGCTTGGCCGTTGCGACGCGAAGCTCAACGCCAGCACGTTGAAGGCCTCGCAGCGTTGTGGTTCAGCCAACATCCTGGGTTGGACGCAATGCTCGAAGCTGTGCAAGACACTTGTCCGCCAGCTGCCATGTATACTGAGCTGAAATGGCTCCACTGGGACCAAGACTAATGCCTAGCAGGTGGAAAATCCCTTTCGCGCCATGGACAAGGAGCAGGCGGGTCGGTGAATACGTCCGTCAAAATGCATTCAACTTGTCGTCTTGCAACTCATGAGTTGCAAGACGATAAGTTGAGTGTCCGGAAAGCCACTTTAACCTGTAAAAAACAAGATTTTTTGACCCTCGGTGCGTTGCGTCCGGGGCTAACCCCCCCCGTTTACCCAACATGTTGCAACTTACCCTGCACACTCTGCCAACAGTCCAAATTTTAACACAAGTGACTGCCCTCGTTGTGCTTTAACATCCACAAGCTTCTTTCATGTTTGTGTGTGTGCGTGCGTCTCTCTCTCTCTCTCTTTCTCTGTTTCTCTGCATATCATTATATAATCTCCTTACTTAATTCCAGATGAGCACGATTTAATTTTTAGGTATGAACTTCTAAAAAGTTAGTGAACCTGGGAGTCTTTAAAGAGTATTGGCCATTGGCCAGCAGGCAAGGCCACGAGCAAAATACATCAACTTGGAGGTGTGACACATCTCAAACGGCCTGGCCTACTTTGCTTGTCATGTATCCTCTTCAACTCCTTTCTTTGGGCCTTGCAGTAGGGGCTCCATTGGATCACAAGGCTATGGATGCATTCCGCATCGTTCCGCAATCCCATCTCACTTTGGAATGAATGCTGGCCACGACTCCGACAACCAGCCGATTGCCTCTGAAAGGCGTGCGGCAGCCCCGCAGTCCTTGCCGGGGCAGGATAGGAAAAAAAACAAAAACAAGACCATGTTCGTAACAGCGTGCACACCCATTGTCCCATACCCTCCAAGCAACAACAACTACTACTACTACTACCACCACTTCTTCAAAAAAGAACGCTTGGAGATGTCTGACATAGCAGAAAAAGTTCACCGAATCGTACAACTGCTTGGGCTCACACTCCCAAACAAGCTGGGCTGTACCATGCAAGACTCCAAAATACACCAAACGCGTTGCTTAGCACGCTTGAAAAACAGAATTGCTTCAGCAACGCGTAGAATCCATCGTTTAGAGAAATTCGAATCGCCCTAAACGACATAGCATCCATGGCTGCTCGCGGACTCGCGTTATACGGCGAGGCTAGCCTAGTAGCCTAGCACCACCTCACCAAACACATACCCCTTGCAGCGAATACTGGCAGACCACGCAGATCAGAAAGACCGGAGAAGATATGATCAGAATGAAGCATATGGGTGAAACGCGCTCCAAAACGGCGTTCCAAAACGAGGTGGTTTCCTTGCTTTAGTGGGAATTGATTCAATCTCTGGACATTTTTCACACTTATATAAACTTATCCTGTTTTAATCAGGTCCGAAGACCGTTTTGTTTCGCATGTCTAACATTTCTTGTGGGCTAACCGTTATGACCTTTTAGTACTCCACTACAACGTGGAAGGGCTTGCCGGTGGGATTCGTGAGCAAGTCAGTGGTGCCATCTGCTTTCCGTGACGTGACACGGTGTGTCTGCGACACAAGACGAAAAACGATGACCTGAGACCTGAGACAATGAAAGTGGCAAAGGTGGGATGGACATCTCAAGGCTGCGAAAGAAACATCATGAACAACTGATAAGATAAAGGTGCTATGCCCATCTATGCCCTTTGTGCAGCCTTTTTTAACGGGCCTGCGCACCTGCGAGACCGCCGGTGGTTCCCACCAGCATTTGCGAGGTGGGATGAGTTCGAAAGGAAAGCGACCCAAAAGTTCCTCCCAGCAAGTGGATAGTCCCCTAATGACTTGTTTGGAGTCGTCGCTAGCGACAGGCGAAACATTGATGAAGCAAACATCCACTATGCAGAAGGGGGTTCTATGCTGTTGGCCCTCCTGCCACCGGCGCATGACAAAGCCAATGATCAAAAGTTAGGCCACCGCGAATGTTTGAAATATGTTGAAATTTGAAAGAATGCTTCAATCACCGTGCCTTCTTGAGGACACTCTCGACGGACTTCACTGCATTCATGCAAGAGATGACGCGGTCGTCGCCGACGATTCTACTTGAAAGCTTCACGGCATCCAGGATAGCCCGAACCTGCGCAATTCTGCTGCAATCGCCTCAGGTTGCCAAGCATTGCAGTGACATTTCAACATGGCATATCATGGCATATATCGTGTGTCGTCCGCGAATTGGGCTTGCGCATATCGTACCGAAATTGCCAACCCGAACTTGTTGCAACGTCGCCTCCAAAGACCTCTTCAAGATGTCTGCGTCCAGGATCTGGTTCGGTCAGCATACCAAGCATGAAGTCCTGGTGGTGATGTTTGATGGATTTTGACAGTGCCTCCCAAGTCGAAACACTGCGATCCCAAATCAAGTTTCCAGTCCCGGGCAGATTCCAAGCTCACCAACAGGTTGTGTTCTGGATTGGCCAGCCTTATTTAGCTTGTTTGCCCAAGGCCAATTCTCACTCAAGTATTGTATCGCCAACTGGCAGACGTACAGTACAAGTACTTGTTCAAATTTAAGGTTCCAGACTTGACAGTGCTGCCTCTGGCTGCGCTGATTTGACGCCAGGCGACCTGCACTGACTAAATCCAATTGCATCTGTATATGCAAATCGCAGGCGGGAAACTGCCTAATCTATATATAGGATTTTTATAAATTGCTCTAGGCAGCCTCACCCCAACCCCCAGGTGATATATTGACCAATTGCATCCAATTGCAATCCCCAAAGCTGGATCAAACATGCACCTGTTGATTTCCACATAACAACCACACAACATCACAAGCAACGCTGGCTGTCTATAGTCTACCCCCACGCCTCCATCATCTGAAGGATATTGTCCATGGAGCTGGCGGTCCTGCACGATGTTTGGGCTGCTAGTGGCGTGAAAAAGTCACCAGTATCCACAACTGTCACCAGTATCCTGGGTGGGTTCTCCAAACCATGCTCATGGGGCAGGAATAAACTCAACCTTGGACAGTTCGAGGCACCCAGCCCACGTCGCACGCTGCCCACACCTCAGACTTTGAGAAACAGTACAGAAGTGGAGAGCTTATAACTTATGGGATCGTCGCCGCATAAATCATTTCTTTAAGCCCGCTCTGCCCTCCTACTGCTACTACTTAATGAAGAGAGAAATTCGCTACTAGAAATAGGAAGCTCCGAAAGAGGGTGCAGGATAGTTCACGCTCGCACAAATCATATGGTTCCTTGAGGGACACTAAACCTTTTCAGAACTTCAGTGAGAAGGAAGCACACTCTCCAAATGTTATGAAATGCTGGCTCAAAAATGAATCCAAGTCGCTGTTGGAGCGCACTCCTGCCCTGTGCTTCATCTCACATGGTGCCTTCTTTCACTAAACCCCTGCACGAAGTAACGGGCATGATCGCGGCAGGCACAGTGTCACAGTGTGTGTTATATATTATGGTTGGCGCACCGTGTCCAAGCTTCGATTATTGATGATTCCGGAATTCAATATAGTTAATATAGTATAATATAGATTAATATAGTGTCCTGAGCACGTTTTAGTCAAGGTTGCTCATTGGTCCACTCCCAGAAAAAGAAGCATGAAGAAATCCCGATCAAGATGTGTCCCATTCAGTTTGCCACTTGAGCCGAAACACACCGTGCCACAAACGTGCCGCTGTCGCTCGAAGTTTGACAATAGAAACAACGTGTAAGGCATTGTACAACTACCCTCCGGAAACACAAGTTTGCCTTCCATGTCGCAAATCACAGTAATTTCATTCAAACTCTAACCCCTTTCGTCACAGACCTGTCAAGCAAAGGGAGTCCCGCGGCAATCTTGGCAGTTTTGCTTGCGGGCACGGTGAGGGCAACACAGCAACACAAAAGAGTATATACACAAAAGAACCGCCGATGATGCCCCACTGAAATACATGGTGCACCCCGGTGCTGATCCAAAAGCACTTGACACGTGCTGATTTCGTGCCCGCACCTTCTCTCCATGTGTGGAGCCCAGGGCACTCCCTCAAGAGCAAACCCAGCAGGGATGCAAAGTTATTCAGCAAATAGGGATCGAGGCTGAGTCCTTGGCATTCCTCGCACTTTGCTGCTTCTGCTGTGGTGGCTCAATTCTTTCGACATCCCAACCACGGATTGGAACTCAGACTCACAAATACGGCTAGCTCTCGGCCGGATCAACATCGGGCAGCTTTCCACGGCTGATTGGATATGGGCCATAGCACTTCCGCTTTCCATCCTCGTCTTCGCCGTGGGTACATGTGCCACATCGTGCGACTATCAACTGATTGCCTCCGGTCGGCCCACCAGCATCATTCCTTCCCACCCGGTGCTATTCGAATCAAATCGAGCAAGCGAAGGTCACAGCCTCTGGTGCCGTCCACACAGTGTGGTTACAAATGGTTACAGTTTGTTGGACAGTTGGACCTGTCCTGCCTGTTCCTCTGTCAGTGACCATGAACTCCGTCCGTCAACGATTGCGGTCTTCCAACGGCTCGCATTTTAGGAGAAGTGAGGAGTCTGATCTGATCCTTCGAACCCACTCAGACCCAGGCCTGCCAAGGATCCTTAAGGTGTGGAAAGCCTCCTCGTCCCAGTGCGGGAAACTAGCGCAAAGGCCAGCGGCGTCACAGCGCTTCTTTAGGTTCTATAATAGGGATAATAGAGTGAGGCATTGGGGAGCATGATGGAGCATGTTTTCATGTTAGACCACCTTTTCTCCAGCCTTGAATGGGACGGCTGTTGGATGCTTGCGGTTTTGGCATGCTGGTTTGGACCACAGACTGCAAAAGCTGCAGTGGTGCTGCCAGAGCCAGTGTGGATGCAAATCTACACTTAATAAGATTGGAGAAGGATGTTGGATCTTCTTCTCATTCGCGGCCACTGGATAGCTTTCCACTTGCCAAAGTGTCTTGGAAAACGAAATGAAGAAGCTTCAAAGTGGAACGGGGTACTGTATTACTCCTCGTCTTTTCCTATTTGCAATGTCTGGATAGACCTGAAAGATCTTGAAGTTCAAAAGTTGCAGAGTGGAACCATTAAAGCCAGTGCACCGCATAGATCTGCACTTGATAAGATCGGAATTCACTCATGCACCGTGTGCCCGAATACTTTTCCTTTGGCAAAGGACACCGGTATTCACCACAGCCCCCCAAGTCTCAAAACAAGAGTTCTCTTAGGCTTGGACAGGTTGAAAGCTTAGGCATCCATGGGTTGCTTTGGGGTATGTCAGGGCTACGTGCCCAATCTCCTTCAGGACTGTCTTAAGCCCGACCACCATGCACCCGTCACGGGATGAACCCTGCCAGAAAACTTGAAACTGATGGCAGGTCCTCAGGTCTCACCTACAGCTTCGTTGACAATATATATATATATATACACAGTGGAACGAGAAGACAAACATTCCTCAACTGAACACACCTGGCAGCGACTGAGGGAGTGCAAATCCCAATCAAATCCAACATGGCGGCGGACCGGCTGCGACCGTCACCCGCTTCCCAGCTCATCTCGCATCTTTGCTACCCGCAGTCCCGCAGTGCCGCGACGCGTGCCGCAATGTTCAATGGGCGGGCATTTGGATGGAAGAGTCACGAACATATGCCGTTACAAAATGTATGGAAGCATGGAAAATGTGAAGACGTTTTTTGAAGTCTCTATGGAAAACGTACAACATTACCTAGTGGGCGGTTGCTCTGCAGGGGTGAGATCGGTGAAACAAGGTCCCACGCGACTTAGTTCACTACTTCTCGAAGGCCTGGCCACAAGAATTATTATAGGTTTTGTACAGTATGGTGTTGTTATATGATTCTTGTTACTATATAGTAGCATCCTCTTGTTACTCGTAGTAAGGCCAGGAGCTACTAGTAGCGTCCTTGCTCCTAGTAGCGATGCCCTTTGTTTCTAGTAGCGTCCCCTTAAGAACATCCAAACCCTTGTGACCTTGGTTAAATTGTTAAACTTTTGAACAGCTGCTCGCTGTCGCTTTTGTTTTGCTCGTGTTGCTTGTGCATACTACCTACCACCTACTAGCGACGGCCTCCAACCTTAGGCG